AAATCTTTTTGTAATTACTCATTTTTATTTTTAATTTTTCTAAATTTGAATTTAGTATTTTTACGCCACAAATTTATCATATTCATATGCCTTTCATTGATTTTAATTTTCACCTAAATTTTAATCATTTCTGTTCAAGGACCATGCTGACATTATTATTAAGAAATAATAATAAATTCATGAAATTAAAAAAAAAAAAAAAAAAGAATTTAAAGTGAAATCTCCCTATCAGTTATAAAAATAATTAAGAAAATATATGGTTTTTGTATCTTCCTCCCTCCTACCCTTTTAGACTATACAGCGTTTTCCCGGACCAAGGGCGGGGATTAATTCCAGAGTTAAAAGCCCCTCGGGCACCGGGACTCGAACTCGTAGTTATTTTTATCTTATTATGTTTGATCCGGGTTGTCGGGCAACACGCGGTGCCGCACGCGCATTGGACCATTCGGCCACTCCACCCCTGGAAAATATAACTTATCTTATTAAATTAAAAACATAAATAATATAAATACATGAGCTTTTTTCTTACTGAAATAATATTACTGTGTTAGGGAGTACCCCTTTCCGCCTAACGTCGTAGCAATCTCCATTTTACAAATTACACAATTGTTTATTTTATTGCACTACTCGTTTCACAAATTGGTTAACTATAATTTACATGTATTTTGTAGTTCGGATTGTATTACTTTTTATCAACATAAAATAAATGATACCACAGTTCCGACAAATTTTTAATTTATTTAAAAATCTATATTGTACATTGCGCCTTCCTGCCAATTAATATTATTATATATCTATAATTATTCTTGTTGCAAATTTGTAACCATAATAAGGAAGAAATAATTCTGGGAATTATAAGCGTGGTGTCTTCGTTACGGCCCGTTTTGCTTTGTTCATGTAAAATAAAATATGTCGGTCACTGAAAACTTTTTATGTAATAGAGAGATATGCATAGATATATAATTTTAAAAAAAATTGTACACTTTTCTTTTGTACACACAGGGATGGTATTCAATGAACAGAGAGTTTTTTCCGTTGCTAATTTAAAATATCAGCACTTTTAATGTACAGAAGTTGAATATTTATCAATTTAACTGATTTAAGCTAGTTAAACTAATATTAGGCGTATTTTAAGAAAGAAAAGTATTTGTTAAATGACTTATAATTGGTTTAATTTGGCTTCTTATATTATGAATGATTTTCAATTTTTTTTTTTTGTTGGATAGGAAAATTTTTTTGGAAGTGTTTTTTTCTTTGATTACGATTTTATTTATAAATGAATTTGAAAATCAAAGAATGTTTTTTCAATACAAAAAAGATTGTAAGATTGTAAAAAGTTTAATACCAATTGCGAATTCCTGAACGCGACGTTAAAATATAACCGCATAGCAACAGCGTAAGAAAAAGAAGAGATAATAAAATTCATGAAAACAAAAACAAGAACAATGTTATGCGAAGAGAAATCACATTGAGATAGGAACGTACAAATGTTTGAATTTAAAAGGTGACATCCAAAGAAAGACACACACCTGTGCAACACGGAACAAATGCCAAAGAGATAAGCAAAATTCATGAACGATTCTTTCTCAGTATTGCAGGTTGCCTGCCCAATTTTTTTTATTGTACTTTAACCTTTAACCTTTTGAAAAGATAAAATTTGCTTTAGAATTTCCTATTCGATACCGAACTCGATTTATCGCAGGCAATTTCAAGATTAAATCAAAACCCACGATTCACAAATAAAATAAAAAAAAATTTAAATGATTATTAAAATTCCAAAAAAATTTTAATTGAGTAATAGACCATATAAAGAAAATTTAATGAAATTATATAAAACAAGGGATTGAAACTTTTATCAGTTTCTATAAAACTTTTTAGGAAAAAAGTTTTATTTTAACGGTTTTTGTGAAAGTTTTTTAGAAAACAGTTCTTAATATGGTACTTCTAAGGAACTTTTTCGTGATAAAGTTCCAGATTTATGGATAAAGTTTAACTTGTATTTATTTTAAGTTCTTGAAAAAAAGTTCAGTTAAATGAAAAATAAACAGCAATAGAGTTATAATTTTTCTGAAATGAATTGCACATCATTCTAACGTGTCGTTTGTTTGAGGAACTATGGTTAAAAGTCATTTTTTAGATCGACAGAACGCGAAATCGACAGAATTTTTTAAATAAAAGTTCTGTAAATCCGTTAATTGAAAAGTTGCTGGGGAATAAGTTCTAGTTAAAAAATAAATGAAAACTATTGGCAGTAAAAATTACGGTGATACCAAAATTTTATGAAAATAAAAGTTTTTCCTTTCCAAGCCCCGATTAAAAGTGATTAGGACAGCAAAAAAAACAAAAAACAAAAAAAAAACAAGGAGAACCGTTTGAAAAAATGGAAACCAACTCAGAGCATATATATATATATATATATATCGCCAATTTTTTTGATAACTTCAAAATAATATTTGTATACAATTTAATCATATTCTTTATTATTCTTTCAAATATTGTTGTTTTGATATTTAATTTAAATTTGAATAAAAATAAATTAAAAGTAGTTAATCATAACGATAATATTTTAAGGAAATTAATTTCTTCATATGTATCGGACTTACTTCATTAGCTAATAGCAAATTAAAAAGAATTAGAATTTTTATATGAACAACATAAAATATGATTATTTGTATGAATATTACATAATATATTAATAAATTTGTGAGTTTCTATTAAATGAAATATTTATATATATGTAATGAATAATTATATATATGAATAGATGGTTTGTTTAATCAAACTTTGGGTAGAAGATACGTATTTAGGAAGTTACATGTTACATGCAAACATTGGTTCAACAATCAACCCTGAAATGTTTAATTAAAGTACCTTACATAAAAACGGATGATAAAGACCTTCTCTATTTATAGAGTATATACATTTTTAAGCAGAGATACTGATATATAATTAAAATATTGATCAAAAATATAATTACAACTTATAAAAAAAATATTAAATTAAACTGATCTTATGTGAAATATTTTTATTCTTTTTTTATAACATTTTTATTTTTAATCCCTATGTTTTTCTCAATTTCATTTGATTTGTATCAATTTTATTTTAAAATATATAATTTTTAGTTTTAAGATACTTTGATACTGCTTAATGTTTTTCTTTCTTTTTTTATTTTACCATGAAAATAGACGAATGCAGAAAATATATTAAATTTTGAGGTACATATGAAAGAAAAAAAAATACATTAAATTTGACACCGTTATTAAAATAAAAAATCTATTCGCGAAAAACAGCCAAATGAAACAACACAATACTATAAATATAGCCTATTAAGATAAATAAAAATGTATATTACATTTTTCTTTTATGATTTTCAAATGATTCACAGTTGGGTTTCCCGTGAGTCATCCGCTTTTAATTTTTAATCAACGTAAAAAACTAGCGATGAATCAAATTTTAACAAATATGATCACAAATTTATCGACTAAGGGAATGTTATGTTTAAATAAATGTTTAAAGTCGTGATAATGTTTGTTGACAGCCCGTCATCATTTTACGTAACGATTAGGTTTAATGGAATCAATGAAAACAAACAAAGGTTCCTCAAAGTGATGTCGTCAGCTATTGTATTGTAAACGAGACTTGCTGCTACTGGTAATAATTTAATGTTTATTAATATTTATTTTTTTTTTTTTTTGGAAGAGATTTTCAATAAAGTTTTAAAAAAGGCTTTGTATTTTAAACTATTTATCGGTAGCTGTTATGGAGAAAGCCGAACAAAGAGTCAGGGACGGTCTTGTATTTTATTGTTTTTTTACATATAATCATACAAAAATAAAATATTATGTTTATGCTCTTTTAAACAAATTAATTTAAAGTAATTCAAACAAATATAAAATAAATTAGTTAATAATTGCTTAAGTATCAAGAATGGGTTATTATTGTAAATTTTAATTTATTTTTTTTACTTTTATAAAATCACTAGATCACTATAAGCATTATAAAAAGTTGTTAATAATTGAACTGAGGTTTTGTGGTTTGGTGCTTAATTTAAATGATTGACTCTAGGATATGGTTTGGTGTCATTTGATTCTTGTATACTGAGAATGCAACAATGCAAAAATGTTAAAAGCATTGATTAAAGAATATCTAGTATTTTGTTTAATAATTTATTAGAAATGAAACGATTGATAAGTTTATAAATTTATGAAGATTGTGTTTTGGGATGGACGCGTTGGCCTCTCTTACCAGCGTGGGTCTTATTTCATCCAGGATTTAAAATGAAATTAAAACTTTAAAAAAAAATTAGTTTAAGTATGACTGTAATTTTTATTTTCATTTTTTCTGTTATTTCGGAACTGGAAGTTTTATTTAATTTTTTTTTTTTTAAAGTTCTTTAGATCTATCCAATAAGTCAATCTAAAATATAGGTACTCGATCAAACGATTCCTAGAATCAAGTAAATCATTTGGATTGTAACTATAATCTAATAAACGTGATTAATGTTTATTTGTAATTTTATGAAACTTTTTTTTAAAGAACTTAAATATATATGAAAGTTAAACATTTACCATAAACCTAGAACTTCATTACAAAAAGTTCCTCAGAACCTTTATTTTAAAAACACTGTTAAATCGAACTTTTCAACCTATTTTTCCAATAATTATTTTTAAAAAATATTTTCTTTAAATCAATGTATTATAATTATATTAATATTTTTCCAATTGGTTTTATATGGAAGTTTTGATGTTTAACAAAAGTTTTTTTTGTTAGATTGGGCGAAAAAAAAAAAGAAGCGAAATACACAGATATTTCATTTAAATGATATTACATATATATTTCGGATGATCAAGGACTTGAACATATAACCCGTTTAAATCCATCTTCTTAAGGACAACGAACCGACTTGCGATAACACTGACTTAAAAAAAAGTACTTATATTCTAGGTACTTACGCCTTCTATCGACCTACAAACAGCTAATGGTATAGAGTAAATATTTACATTTGGGCTTGTCGTTGAACTGTCCCTTGAGGTACTTGTGGAAGACGGCTTGCGTGGGGCTGAGGGACTCCTGCAGCGGCTCCGTGGTGGTGTGGTACACATCTGTCTGTCTCACTGCCGCGTAGGCGGCTGAATTGTTAAACAACTTCTTCATGGACGATATGTATATAAAACACGGCTACCTTGCAATGACCACCCGCAACAGCGTGTCCTCCCTATATAACCTCTCTTCTACCCCCACTCGTTCCAACCCTACCCTCCTCAGGAGTACACCGCGGCTCCGGCTTCGCTTTAGATACGTATATTCCCACTGTAATTGTCGATCTCTCCTTGAAGATTTTATAGCGAAAAACGGACATCGTCAGTTTAGTATGATCATTATAACGTAATTAATAATTTAATTCATTATAGTCATCCGCTCTTCCGTACTCTTTTTTAGTACAATAAAACTAGAAATTGATTCCCAACATAAAAAAACAAAAGGTGAAGTTCGTAGGAAATTGTTTATTTCAAACTCATTTATATTTTTATTTTAAACCTATATTTATTTCATACTCCCCATACTAACTGGACAAAAGTTTCCCACTTCGGGTTTTGATGTTGGAAGAGGTAGAATTACAGAAAACTGATATTTTTTTAATTTACTTGACAATATCTTAAAATTAAACCAGGTTTATTAGAAATAGTGTTCAGTAAAATATTGAAGTAAATTAAAATCTCTACAAAAATGGCCTGAATTTTTTTTTTTTTTTTTTATAAAATCAATGGTTACGGAGATATTTAAGAAAATATTTGTATAGAAGAAGAAGAAGTAAAAGAAAAAGTCTTTTTATTAATTAAAATTACATAATATAAATTCCAAGACAATACAAAATAATATTTTTGGATTTAAAATCGGAAACCAGATGGTGCTACATGGTCTGTTGACCGTCAGAGGAGTCTGTGTTTTATAACAAAATTATATTTCAATCTATTCATATACAACTAATTAATTAGAAAATAAGAACAATTATATTTACAATGCAAAAGTTACATAAATATTTTAATTACATAAAAGAGTGGTACCAAAATTCTCCAAATTATTATTTGTTAAATTCTTTGGTGAGCATTATTCTATAGGAGAAAGCAGACTTGCAGTAATTTACTAATCCTATCCAATCGTTTCCATTTATAAAATCTATTACTTGATCCCGAGATAAATTTCTGGATTTTAACCATTTAATTCTAAATTCAGAGAGTATCGGACAAGCAGCCAGGAAGTGATAGAGATCTTCTGTTTCGTTTGTATTACACATGCTACAAATATTATTTGTTTGCTTGAAGTGTTTATAATTTAAGTTCAAAACATCAGCTCTAATTTTAATTAACAATCTGATCACCTTCATCGAGCTTTTGTCATCGATATAATTTACTGAAGTTAAATAAGGATAAAAAGTGAAAGTTTTAGAATTCTGAACTTTAATTACATATTGATTATATATGTCTTTCTGAATTTTAGTTCTTAGTAAATATAAATTAGCTCTCCATAGTTTAAAATCATCACAGTTAGATCGATTTATGTTGAAATTTAAGCCATGAATATTTGTATAGATTTTTCCTTAAATCAAAAAACATCCAAAAAATATTAAACTTGTTAGAAATTATTCATTATACTCCATCCAATAATTGGTCCGTAAGTCCCCGTTTATCGTATCAGGTTTTGATGATGGAAAGCAGAAAACCTATTTTTATTTTTTATTTTTAAGTATATATCAACAACTACGAGGTTTGTTGAAAATATTGTTCGGTACAATATTAAAATAATTTAAAATCTCTATAAAAAAGAGCTGATTTTTTTTTTTTTATAAAATCAATAGTTACGGAAATATTTAAGAAATTATTTTTATGAAATTTTCACTTTAAAAACATCTAAAGAAAAAATACATAAAAAAGATGACGTTTGTCAGAAATGTTTTATTACTCTCTTTATAATAACTGCGGGAAGATCCCAAAGATTCTCATATCTGGGTTTGATCATGGAAGACAGACAAGGACAAACAATTCTTTTGTTTATATATAAAGATATATTTATATATATCTTTAATTTATATATAAAGAATATATAAAAACCTACCAGTTTTATTGAAAATATTGTCTGGCTCAATATTAAATAAATTAATTTAAAAGCTCTATAAAAATTATTCTGTACATTTGTTTAATATATTCATTGGTTATGGAGATATTTAAGAAATTATTTTTATAAAATTTCCAATTAAAACATTTTAAAACAATATGAAACTAGTCCGAAATTGTTCATGACCCTCCCTATAAATGCTCAAAAGTAACTAAATGTGTCTGGTTTGATGTGAAAAGAGATTCAAAACTGATATTTTTTAATATTTTTTGAAAATATTTAAAAAAAAGGATGAGGTTTATTGAAAATACAGTTCAGTACAATATTAAATTCCTTTATAATCCCTATTATTATAACCCTATACGTTTTTTGTTGTACAATGGTCATGTAGAGATTATATTTATTAAATTTCCACTTATAGTAAAAATTGATCCAAATCCTGAATTAGCACGTTTTCATAGTAGATATTACCATTTCGAAGTTGAATTTGTTTGTTTAACATTTTTCATCATTCGAATTATAACTAAAAGTTTCTTTGTTTTGATGATCCTCAAAAGTCATCAACAACAGTATAAATAGTATTCATATCATCAATCAGAACTTTCATTAATTTCATATAATTGATAATAAGTGATAGCAAACCTAAAAACCTACAAAATTACTATACCATTATTCCAGGATCCGATTTCTTACAGAAAACGAGGAAATTTAAGTTACATATTTTTTTAAGTCAATCACACTTTTTGTTGAATAAAAAGTGGTATAATTTAGGTTATCAACAATTGCGGTACATAAAATTTTCCTTATATAAAAATTCCTACAAGAAGATTTTGCCTTTTTTTCAAACAAAGCAGTTAAACAGTTCAAATAAAGCAGTAAGTTGAGTTTTTTAGAATCTCATGGATTATTTCTACTTTTTTTTATAATCCCCATAACTGACAACGAATATTCCACTTTTAGAAAAACTTCTTGTTTAATGAGCTTTAAGCCGTGTAAAAAAATATATATATTTTGATTTCTGTCAACAGAAATAACTAAAATAAATTATTACAACGGTTTAATTTATTTCTTCCCGTGACCTGGGTTGTATAATAATAAATTAATTACAAAAACATACAAACAAATAAAATTTTAAAAGTACATGTAAAAGACACATGGTTAACTTGATTCATGTTCTAAATAAAATCATCTCAAAATATATCAGTGAAATTTAAAATCTTTTGAAAAAGATAATTTTAGGATGAAACAAGGCAACTAATAGAGAATAATTTCAGAGACTTTAACGCTCTATATAGTTCATTTGAAACAGAATCTAGTTCCGCAATGTTTTTTTACATTTTTTGGGGGGGTTATTTCGTTTGTTTTTTTGCTCTTAGTTACTATAATAATTTTCAATCAATCTGTTTACATTCTATTTATTCCCTTAATTTACATAATGTTACATAATTAAAGTTTTTTTTTTATTTATGCTTATTTTAAAACTTTGGCATGAAGAAAATAAACAACTATTTGTGTACTTAACTGACTGCAACATCCAACCAACTTCTCTTAAATATGAAACTACTAATAATTTGAATAAATTAATAATTAATTTACTGTTTGCCGATTACTCGCTGTTAAACAGATATTAAGTCACAGAGAGATTCGAAATTTAACAAATTATACATATGTTAAACTTATCTTGAAACACACTGTCTTATTAATAACCTAATAATAACAAAAAAAATACATAAACTGTTTCTTAAACTTCTATCTTCATTACAAAATTTCAAAAATAATTAGCTTAGGCAATAAAAAACACCAGTAAAGTCAATTAAACAGCCAACCACCTACTCACCAAAGGCAATCACCTACAATAACGTAAAACGTACTGAAATAAAACATCTGGGGAATATATTTCTCCTTCTAAAACATTGATTACTTTTTAAAATATTTGAAGCAGTTCCGTAGAAAATGCACGTGAGCGGCAGAAAAGCGCTACTGGCGTAGGTGCCTACAGGCCTCTATCACAACATTCAGAACTCATAAATGGCCTAGTTATAGTTATATAATAACATTTATGGTACATTATATTGATTGTATTAACGAACAAATATTATTGCAATAATTTAATTGTCTAAAAAAATTAAACAATTTTTTTAAAATTTATTAACTTTATTTTTTTTAATTTAATTTCTTTTATTCTATACGGAGGTCGTTTAAGATGGCCTCTATTGTAAAAATTATATAATTATAATAATAAAACTTAATTCAAAAATGATTTGCTGAATGCCTTGAATTTTTTTCTTTCACTTACGTATATATGCAATATATAGAAGGGTAAGTATTGCGATCGTGAAAATTTTCGAATCTGAGTTTTCAACGGAAATACACATTTTGGGGTACACTGAATCCAAATGACCAAGTCCCGAAAAATGATCTGTATGTATGTTAGCAGTCTAGTTCAAAAACGAAATGTCGTAAGAAACTGATATTACTTATTTAAGATAGGTATATGCCTTAGATGTAACAGCAACTTTTTCCTTAAAATCGGCTAACCGGAAGTACCCACTTTATATCAACGCTGAAACAAAGTTTACAATTTTCTCTAAAACGGCTCTAACGACTTTGATTAAACTCGGTGTATCATTGTAAAATTAAGTGGTCTTTAATATCAATCAGGTCTTATCCCCATTGATGTCCCTTTACTGGACTTAAATGCCCAATGTTCATATACGTCTTCCTCTAAAGTACCTTTAATACGGTTTATTTAAAAAAAAATATCATCTCAAGTTATTCAGAGTTACAAAAAAATGCTAAATATAACTTTTGAAAGAATTTGATAATTTAATATAGGAGAAAAAAATAAAAATGCTTAACCAGGTCGAAAATGCATCTCCGGAAATACCAGTCAGAAGGTATTCGGATAACATACTGTTGGAAAGCGAAGGATTTTAGAAAAAAACAATATCTAATATAGAAAGTTGTAGAAGGTAAAGGAGAGTGGCGAAAACATTATAAATAATAATGTCAGAAAACTAACATTATTTAACGTAAATCTGATGTCTCCAAGGAAATGATTAAAA